GCAATCGATAAAGGGAAAGATTTGAAGAAAACACCTCCCTAGAAACAGGCAGCAAAAGAGGAGAAAGTTTATGTAAGTCCTCCAGGATATAAAATAATAAAGTAAATTTCTGATCAAATATTTAGTTGAATGAAGGTGCTTCAAAAATCGCCTTGGTTATAACCAGTTGAAGGTTTTCCCTTTGACAAGGGACAAGTGCCCCCCCCCATTTGCATTCCTGTGGTTTATACTGCTCTTACCTAATGAGATATAGAACACCTTCTAAACACTGACACCTTAGAGGCATGCTTCACTCAGCATGAAGGTTTGAGACATCAAGGATACCTTGAGTATCCTCTGATTCCAACAACTTGTCAGACAAATTAGCACCTTCTCAACCAAGGGTAAAATTGAGTTTCACATTTCTCCCTGGTGGGGGAAAAAGAATGAAGGAGAAAATCACTCTGGTTTAATATTTCCTTTGTTAAGACAAATACAGAGAGCCTTATCATCTCTGTATGGCTCTCCCTGACCTCCTGATTTTTAATTCATTGGTTTTAAATGATCCTTGACAGTTGAGATCCTTTTGTCAACTCCTATGTGCTTACGCAGAAGACAGACATTCTGGCTTTTATTAGTCAAGCCAGTTCTTTTTGTGTGCAGTTAACAAGCTAGTCTTAAAGAAAAATTAAAATTGGGCTTATATATGAGGAGAAAAAAATAAAATAATCATATATAAGGTCACCCTTTAAGATGTTACATATGGCCAGTTTTTAAAAATTGCATAGGCATTTAAAAATTCTGTTACTCATATTTGTGGGCTGAGTTAACTACTCAAGGCATAGGAGGATAAATGTAACAATTTTAATAGTTCACCAGGAAGCTGGAGAGAAATGCTACCTTGTAATTCTACACAAAGTTTACCTTGTACATCCCTGTCTTTTGCTAAAAATAACTTATTATTTTGTAAAATGAAATGAAATACATGCACAATGTTTTGAAAGTATTTTGTTTGTTATTATCATACAGTAAAACAAGATTTATCTTTTTATTCTAGCCATTAATCTTATAGAACCACTAAGATAGAAAATTTTCAGGAAACTTCCCCTACACTCACCCCAAAAGGAACCTCTTCTGTAATCAAACTCATACTTGGCAATGGAATAGATGTACATTGAGAAAACAAAATGGGTGTAAGCAGGGAGGGCCTGCAAGGGGGTCTTTATCTGACATACTGATCAGCCAGCTCGCACTGGGGGAAGAGGAGTTGCCGTCAGAAAACTAGAATCTATCCTTAGAAAAACACTGCAGTGGAACCCAGAAAAGGGAGGGAAACAGGCAAAATGCTGAAGACACAAGATGAGGATGTTTGAAAAGAGTCATAGAAACAGAACTGAAGGACATCTGAGATCATCTCCTCTGGCGCCCTCATTTTTCAGAAAACAGGAACCTAGAACCCCAAAGTGACTTTTTCATGGTCACGTTGTCACTGTCATTCCCGAACAATGTGTTTTCAATTTTCAGCAATGCTTCTGGGATGGGCAGCAACAGGGAGCCCAGGCATAGTCCCAGCAACGACACCATGTGGATATCAACAGTCGGTGCTCCGGACCACAGAGCAGGACAGGCAAGGGGAACAGCAGCAGAGGTGGGATCCTCACTGGGGAGCAAGATGGGGGAAACCACTGTGGGCCCAGCAGCCTCTGGGCCACCTAGCAGCCGATAGAAGGACACGTTTCACTTAGACCTGGCTTTTTCAGTAAAAGTGTAAGCTCTCTGAGTTGGGCACCATGCTTCTCAGAATATTAATAAGCTCAGTATTAGGCATACAAGTGGCACAAATTCCAATTGCTTGGATTTAGAATGAGAATTTTAAAAAAAATTGAAGAAGGGCCTCCCTAGTGGTGCAAGAGGTTAAGTCTCAGTGCTGTGAACACAGCCACTGCAGCACGTGTTTGATCCCTGGCCAGGGAGCTGACCCAAATGGCTCAGCAGACTTCGCCTGTCTTGCCAGCTGCTCCCCTCAACAGTGTATTTCAGTAGATCCTCCTGTTCTGCTCCCCATGCTGTCTCCGGTGAATCCTCTCATAGCCTACACCTCTGGCCTGCACCCCTGCTCTTGTATGCATAAATAAATCTTTGAAAACAAAATTTGAATAAACAAAACCCAATTTTGAATAGAGAGGGCTCATGTAGTGATATTGAACTCATATCAAAATAGTTTAAAAATAGGAGGCAATTCTAAGTGGGCTTCTGATGCAGCTGACCAAGGGAAGTGATAGCCTGACAAAATGTTTCCAATATAAAACTTCCCACTATAATGGGTGAGAAGGGAACGGGCCTGGGGAAATTCTTTTACATTCTGCTCTACCTGGAACAGGTATATCAGTGCAGTAATTTGAATTCACAACCAGCAGACCTGGTCGTGTTTTTTTTAAGATTTATTTATTTATTTATACAAGCACTGGGTACAGTCAGAAGCGCGGGAGGGTGAGAGAATTCACCAGAGCCAGAGCGGGTAGCAGAACGGCAGACAGAAGGAGGACACTGCTGAGGGGGGAGCGGGCGCAGCAAGAGAGGTCTGCGTGCCACGTGGGACCCTCGCCGGTAGCCGGGGATCAAACCAGCACTGCAGAGGCTACGGGCAGCCCCGCAGCCCAGCGTTCAACCGCTGCGCCACTGGGGAGGCCCAGACCTGGTCATTTTTATGGAACTAGTCTACTAATTTTATAACAGCACTACACTCAAAAAAAAAAAATACCTAGGTGGTACAATGATCTTAAAAGTCATTATCCAACAAGTAAGCATAAGGTTTAATCCCAGATGGGAGCCTGGAGCTGAAAAAGGACACTAGTGAGATAATCAGCAAATTTAAACAGGATATAAAGATGACTTAATAAAATTAAACTGATGTGATTCCCCTAATTTTGATCTTTGCATTAGGCTTACATAAGTTAACATTTGGAGAAGTTGGGTAAAAGGTATATATTGATATATACAGGAGTTCTTTGTACCATTTTTGCAACCTTCTTGTAAGTCTAAATTGTTTTCAAAATAATAAGATAAAACTTTTCAAAATTAAATCATGAAGTCACAGGTATTTTAAGTAACCACATTCGGCATAACTTAGCCTACTCTTAGGTCTCTTCAAGGCTGTCAGCTCCACTAGGCAAACAGCTGAATAAATTCATCATTAATTGTTTTTCTAAGTTTGCCTTCCAATGTGCTGAAGCAGGCATATGTAAGCTTTGTCCACATCCAAGCCTGTGAAAGGGAAGAAAAAGCTAAGATGGGATGTGACTATGATACCACAGTAATCAAACAGCTGCCAGAAGTGTGCAGCATTTGAACAGCAGAGCAGCCCCCTTTTTCTAAATTTTGCACATCCTAAGTAATTGCAAATAAAAATCCTACAGTGATGTGAAATTTCCAACTGGATTGCAAAATGTTCTTAGTGGAAAACCAACTAAGGAGAATCATAACAGAAATAGAGATACTTTCTCTGTTGCCTTCTTAGCTGCCCGCCCTCTCTATGCATGCCAGTCACACCAGAAACCAGGATGCTCACCTTCTCTGTGGTTCAGATAATCTCATGCCATTCTGTTAATTATATCTTATAAACCAACACTCAAACAGCATGAACCTCCTTCCTTTTTTTTGCATGTTTCTAGGATGAAATAAATTAGTGGTGACCTGAGAGCAATACTTGAGCCCCTCTTCCTGGCTCCTGACAGTTCTGGAGGGCAGAAGGCAGTGTTTTACAGCTCCTGCACTATTGACATAACAGCTCATCAGATCTCAATGTTACAACTCGCAGTCTGCTCCTAACTCTGGCCAGAAACTCTTGGGTAATGTCACGTCTTATAAAGAACAACAAGAGGTTATCTGTTAACTAGATGAAGAAATACAGCCTCTTAAACAGTGGGTCCATAAATGTGCTATTTTGACCCAACCAGTGCTGTAAATGTCTATCCAGTAACAGAGTAGACTGGCCAACAGCCAATCTTAGAAAAGCAAAGAATCAGAGGCGTCTTCTAAGTGAAAATTTAGCAAAGGCAAATTATCTTTTCAGTTGTCTGTCCTATCATGATTTAGATGTGTTGGGTAGAGCGGGCGGAGATTATGTTTTGAGAAAGGAAAGTGAGCAGGCAAAGTCGCAGGGTCAAGGACTACCAAATGCCAGCAGTGTTACAGAATGGTTTGGGGTTCTCACTAGACGCAGATAATATAGTAAATCCTTTGCACACAACTGCACTGGTCTATAAGAGATGAAGCAACGAGTAAATCAAAAAATAAAAAGATTTGTCTTTGAGGAGCCTATCAGACCCTTTCTGCTGCAGTCTTCCCAGAATGTCACTTCCCTGCAGAAGACTTGCTTTTTGTTCCCAGAGAACCCTGTCCAGGTCCAAACCAAAAAGGACCTGGTAACTGCATTTACCTTCCTGCCCGTATCTCTTGAAACCAAGATGTTAACTCTTCCAAGTGTGTTATGTTAAACTTTTAATTCTGTGGACTGGAAAGTTTTGCTTTATCTAGAAAGGACTGTGGGAAGGGGAAGTAGTATGCCGAGAATCAAGGCACTCTTTTCTAACTGAAAAATGCAAAATAGACACACTTTGCTCCCTTCAGGGAACCAGAGGAGCTAAATCAGAAAGTAAGTCACCCTGAATTCTTTTCTGGAACAAATCTTTTTTTTTTTTTTTCCTAAAGATTTAGTCTCTTATACAAGCACTGGGGTACAGGCCAGAGGTGCGGGAGGACAAGAGAATTTACCAGAGACAGAGCGGGGAGCAGAACAGGCAGAAGGACCAAAGTACACTGCTGAGGGGAGCATCGGGCGAGACAGAAGTCTGCTGCAACATGCGGGAATCTCCCTGCCCAGCCGGGAATCGAATTGTTTTGCTGCAGAGGCTGTGCACAGCTCCACAGCACTGCACTCAACCCGCTGAGCCACTGGGGAGGACCTGGAACAAATCTTAACTCTCCCTTCCACCCTCATGCCCACCCATTTTCCAGCTCACCTTCTGTGGTTCCATCCTGGCTGGAGACTTTGTTCTTCCTTCATCTTCACACATTATCATACCTCTCTCCCTCTGCTCCAAGTGCGCCAGCACCCAGGATATCTGTAGATTAAGTGGCAAAGAAGAAAAGAGGAATCTGAGACCTGCTGAGAAGACCTCTTATTTGGGGCAGAGGTTCTTGAGATATGTAAGCTAGAGACAGAAAGAAATCACACCTTTACCTTTATACCTGGGGGCAGGGCAGGGAGGAGACGAATTCAACCCTTAAATCATAAAAAAATAAAAAGTGGTTGAGGTCAAAGTAATCTATTGTGCAAGAAGAATATAAAAATTTCACATTAAAAAAATAAAAACATATGGGTGTGCCCAAGTGGTGTTTATGGCAGAGGAGAGGATGAAATCGAGTAAGTTCTTTGGAGAACTTTATTGATCATGAAGAGAAAATAATACAATGGAAATCCGACTATGTAAATTTTTTGTAATTATACTACTACCTTTTTAAAGAATTATGGAAATTATTTCATTCAACTTCCTATCCACAGGGGAAAAATCTTAATTTCTAATGAAAAGCATTTCTTTCCAGACTCAGGAGAAAGGTGTGACTCTTTACTGGTTGTGTATTTTCAGGCAACAGTTTGTCCTCATTGGACCTGAGACAGTTAGGGTTATCTGAATGCAGCCAGCCCCCAAGACTCCATGTGGGGTGCACACAGTTTGCAATCTCTGCTTATTTATAAAGTTGTACAATGGTACTTATAAATTTCACTCAATTTATTTTAGACAACATAAACTTTAGTTTTGAGCAAGAATAAGATCTTCATAGTTAAAGATTCATTACTTTGAGTATTAATATCTGCTCTCTTAGCAAAATTCAAAATCAAACCAAAACAAAAATCCTATATTGGGGACAATGCTGTCTTTTTTTAAAAAAGATTGATTTATTTATGCATACAAGAGCCGGGCACAGGCAGAGATGCGGGGGGTAAGAGGATCGACCAGAGACAGAGCAGGGAACAGAACAGGCAGACTGACTGAAATACACTGCTGAGGGGAGCAGCCGGCAAGTCTGGAGAGGTCTGCTGCACCATGTAGGTTTCTCCCTGGCCAGTCAGGGATCGAACTCATGCTGCAGAGTCTGTGGATTGCTTCATAGTGCAGCACTTAACCCCTTGTGCCACCAGGGAGGCTCTGACAATGCTGTCTTATTGAAGCATGTTAATGGCATAGGGTCACTATAGTAAGTGACTAAGTTCATATTTCAGGAGAGACCACGCAGCTCTTGGAGAGCCCCTCCTGTGGCCCTGTAAGTTTGTGAGTTTTCACCCAGCACTTTGAGGTCACCAACCTAAAGTCTCTCCTCTTCTGTTTCCCATCTGCCAACGCGCATTAAATAAGGAGGGGTCACTGCTCAGCCCAAAACCAAAAATTTAAAAAGACACAATCGGCTATAGGAACGGGTATCCTTTGTGGCAGTGTGCTGGCAGCCGGCTCAAGAAGGCGAAGAGAAAGAAGCACAGAGAAGTCTGTGTGCGTGAGGCCTCTGTGAGCCACAACGCAGTTTCTCCAATTCTAACTGAGCAAGTCCACTTAAACATGACCATCTCAAACAGGGTAGGATGCTAATTAATTCATTTGTTGATTTAATCCAAAAAAAGGGGGATTTTTATTTCTTAGCCTCAGGCCTAGACTCTCAGAAGGCTGTTCATCCTGCATAATGATTTCATATGAATTTCTTTTTTTTTTTTTTTCGGGCGACTTTAAAACAGCTACATGGCCGATTTATATTAGTCACCTCTGAGCAGTCTCAGACCTGTTTCCGTCTGTAAATAGGTATCTCTTCTCGTTCTTCTTTCCTTTGTCTTACCTCCTGGATGAAGAAGTTGAGAATTCTACCACAAAGGGTTAATGTTATTGGCCTTTGTGATCTTTTTTATGGGTCTGTTGCTGGTAACTTAATACACATTATTGTACAACCAAAGTCAAAAAATTTTACTGCACTTATAAATCTAAAATTAAATTGGGTCGATAAAGGAAAATAAAGCTTACTTGCATTTATATTATTTGAAAATAACCTAATGTTCCAGCTGCTTCCTTTTGATTATTCTATCTATCTCAGGAGGAAAGTTGCACATCAGCTAATGAGGGAGGATTTCTGAGATATTAGCCTGTATTCTTTTTTCCCAGCCTTTTCTCTTTTACCTTCCAGCACTGGGGACCCAGTGTTCTTTATCCTAGAGAAGGGATAGGACAGGCAACAGGTGAAAAAGTAAAACCTGGGAAGATGTATGTCATTAAAAAGTATTCAGTTTTAGGGAAACCTAGGGAACTAGAATTGGCTGTTTATATTTACATAAATGAACTTAAAAATTTAGTTCCTCAGGGTCTCCCTGGTGGCCTAAAGATTAAGTCTCAGCACTATGAAGCTATCAGCAGCCACTGCAGCACGAGTTCAATCCCCAGCCAGGGAGCTGACCCACCTGGCGCAGCAGACCTCTCCGGTCTTTCCCGCTGCTCCCCTCAGCAGTGTATTTCAGTCAGTCCTCCTGTTATGCTCCCCACTCTGTCTCTGGTGAATCCTCTCACCACCACCACTCCCCCACCTCTGACCTACACCTAGTTCTTCTACTCAAAACAAAAAAAAAAAAAAAATCAGTTCTTCAACCACACTAACCACGTTTCAAAAGCTCGGCAGTAACACATGGCTGTTGGGAATCTGTGATGGAAAGCAGCACTAATATAGGACATTTCCTTCACCACACAGCTATACTGGAGAGTGCTGGACTACAGCAAAGACAAAACATTTATCAGAAGTAGAAGGTGAGATAAGCAGAGTTCATCCTCCAATAAACTATCCACTTCTGTCTTGAAGACAGCAGGAAAAAGAGATTCACATCCCCACCTTCATTCAATAACCACCCTTAAAACAATCACAAAAATGAGAAGTTGAAATGTAACTGCCAATGTTGGAGAAACTACATTGTAACCCCAAACCACAGCATAGGAAGAGTCAGAAGGACCTAAAATAGGAAAAGACACTGGTGGCCGCAAATGTCTGAGAAAAAGAGTAGTTGTCAAGGGGTGAATGATCAAGGCCAAAGCGTGAGTCCAGTGAGCTCTTTTCTTGATTGCAAATCTGGGGCCCGGTGAGCAGACTTCCTAAGGAAACGTTTGGCACGTGGCGAGCAGAGGAGCGGCTAAGCAAAGAATACAGTGATGCTTAGTTTTCATTAAAAGCCATCTGCCAGCAGGCAGGGTGTGAGGAGAGGAACTCGGGTGACAACAAACAGGTCACCGCGGATGTTTCAGTGGGAAGGAAGTTTCAAACAACTTAGTCACATAAAGTTGTGCCATGCAGAAACTTCCTAAGAACAGGAAACCACTCTAGGCTATTCCCCACAAACCTACAAAGAGCTGGCCCAAAAAAGAACTCATTTCAAGATTAACATGACAACTAATAATAATAGTAAGTTATAATAATAAGTACCTTTCTGCTTGCTAGAAGGGATGCTGCCTGATTCATAAATCATTTAATAAAACCTATTGGATCTAAAATTAAAAATAATGATGACGGTAGAATAAGCACAATATCTATACACAGACAATACAAGAAGGGAAAAGGAAAGGAAAGGAAAAACAAATTATGCTAAAAGAAAATTCACTAGAAAAATATTGCCATGTCACAGATAAAAATTGGGACCCAATGTACTTTTATAAACTAAATAATAAAATAAGAACTAAGCAAGGCTCAGAGGAGACAGAGCAAGAAGAGCAGCTAGAGTTCAGAAAAAAGTGGAAGCAAAAAAATTCATCAGGTAAATGAAAGTCCTGATGGAAATGAACAGAAGAATTTGCACTGCATAAAACATGGAAGGAGACAAGAAGACATAAATTTCCTTAAAAGTGAGCAAAATTGGGCCTCCCTGGTGGCGCAGGCAGCTGAGCACTGACTGCACTGTGAAGCTGTCTGCAGCCTCTGCAGTGCAGGTTTGATCCCAGCCGGCTGGCGAGAATCCCATATGGCACAGCAGACCTCTCCTGTCTCGCCCGCTGTTCCCCTCAGCAGTGTATTTCAGTCAGTCTGCCTGTTCTCTTCCCCACTCTGTCTCTGGTGGATCCTCTCACCCTCTCACGCATCTGGCCTGTACCCTGGTTCTTGTACAAAAATAATTAATCTTTTAAAAAAAAGTGAGCAAAATTAATGCTCACTTTTTAAATGAAAATGAACAGATGGTTTAAAAGGAATGAGGGAAAATAGTAGGTATGAATGACAAACAGGAAAGATAAACTGTACATAATTTATGCAACCAATAGAGAATGAGTCAAATAGAAAGGGAAAAAAATGCCAAAACTGCGTAATTCAAGAAAATATTCCTAGGCTCAAGAAAAAATGATTATTGGGAAAATAGCATTATTTTATGAATAATACAAGGGTACTGAATGAGAACATACATCTGAAGAGTGTGAGCCTATACCTCTGAATCACATACATTGTTGTACATCAACATCATCTCAATAAAAATAGGGGTACTGGATAACCTTTAAAGCAGGACAAAGCAACCAAAATCATCACCACCCCACTCACTCCCTTGGGTTTCTTTCTCAGTGCGCTCTGACTGACTGCCAACCTCCAGTGCCCATGGCATCTCCACTTGTGGAAGGTTTCTCTGTCCATGCACAAGGCGAGTCAAAAGACCAGTGGAAGGTTTTGACTCCACTTGTGGAAGGTTTCTCTGTCCATGCACAAGGCGAGTCAAAAGACCAGTGGATGAATATTCATTATTAACAAGGTGCTTTCTTTGTAATGATTAGTAACTATATCTTAATTAAAGGGAAAGGTAATGAATATAAAAATTAAGCAGCAAGCACATGTCTCGCGAATACCAGGAAAGGGTTCCACTGACACTATTTTCCAGGAAAGGATAAGCAAACAGGTTCTAGGTCATAGCCTGCCCTTACATCCCTGGAGAATTTGCAAGAACTGTCCTGGGAAATTTTATGGGCAAAGCTGGGTGTAAGTCCTGGGAGAAAAGGACTCATCAGTTTCTTGCGGCCAATCTTTGATTCTCAGAAGAGGGCAGATCATAACAAACAGTACTGAGCAG